CTTAGTTTACAGGAAGTATTGCTAATAGAGAACAGAATATTGACAATGAATCATTGGCAGGAAGAGATATTTGAAATAGCCTCATTAGACGTAAGAAGCTGGCAACATGGTTCCTGGGAGATTTTACATCATTATCTGATCAATTCCAAAGTGAAGTATCAATACAATTTAAAAAGAAAAGAACTAAAAGGGAGCCACTTAAAATAACAATTATGAAACTCTATGATTGTCTTTTAAGCATTTAAAAATGATCAAAGTTACAACTATTGAATTCAAAATTCTTTCTTTCTTTATTTTTTTGAGACAGTCTCACTCTGTAGCCAGGGCTAGAGTGCAGTAATGTCATCACAGCTCACTGCAACCTCAAACTTCTGGGCTCAAGCAATCTTCCTGCCCCAGCTTCCCAAGTAGCTGGGACTATAGGCTCACACCACAAGGCCCAGCTAATTTTTTTAATTTAAAGTAGAGACAGGGTCTAGCTTTTGCGCAGGTTGGTCTTGAACTTCTGAGCTCAAGTGATCCTCTTGCTTTGGCCTCCCAGAGTGCTAGGCTTATAGGCATTGAGCCACTGCACACAGCCCAGTTCAAACTCTGATTTTCATGTTAGGAGAATTCTATAAAACAGCTGGTAGAGAATATTATGTAACTATCATCACTGGAAAATATTGTTAATAAACAATCCCGTGATAAATTTACATAATTCAAATAAAAGTGCTCAGTATTAAAAACTGAACAAATAAACAAATATACAAAAGACATCTCTTCAAATAAAATGCCATATGTGTATTCTTTCTTTTTAGCAGCAAATATCATTTAAGTGCTGCTATGGACTGAATGTTTATATTCTTGCCAAATTCAGATCATACGTTCAAATTCTAACCTCCAAAATGATGGCATTAGGATGTAGGGTCTCTTGGGAGGTGATTAGGTTGTGAGGGAAGAACCCTCAGGATGGAATTAGTGCCCTTATAAAATAGGCCCGAGAAAAACTGTGGAAGAATATAGCATAGGACATAAACAGATTGAAAAACATACCATGCTCATGGATCGATAGAATCGGTAGAATCAACATTGTTAAAATGTCTATACTACCAAAGTGATCTACAGAGTCAATGCAATCCCTATTAAAATACCAACATCATTTTTTACAAATCTAGAAAAAATAATTCTATGCTTTGTATGGAACCAAAGAAGACCCCATATAGCAAAAGCAACCTTAAGCAAAAAGAACAAATTGGGAGGTATCAATTTACCAGACTTCAAACTAATCTACAAGGCAATTGTAACTAAAACAGCATTTAACTTTGGCACAAGAACAGAGACATAGACCAATAGATCAGAACAGAAACCCCAGATATAAAACCATCCTCATATTACCATATGATCTTTGACAAAGCAGACAAAAACATACACTGGGGGAAAGAATCCCTAAACAGTGCTGAGAAAATTGGATAGCCACATGTAGAAGAATGAAACAGGATCCACAACTCTCATCATTCACAAAAATCAACTCACAATGGATACAGACTTAAACCTAAGGCATGAAACTAAGAATTCTAGAAGAAAATGTTGGAAGAACTCTTATGGTCATTGTCCTAGGCAAAGAATTCATGAAGAAGGTCCCCAAAGCAATCACAACAACAACAAAAATAAATGGGACATGGTCAAATTAAAAAGTTTCTGCATAGCAAGGAAACAATCATTAGAGCCAATAGACAACCTATAGAATGGGAGAATATATTTGCATGCTATACATCCAATAAAGGGCTGATAATGAGGATCTATAAAGAAATCAAGCAAATCAGCAAGAAAAAAAATCAAACAACCCCATTAAAAAGAAAGTAAACAACATGAACAGAAACTTTGCAAAAGAAGACAGACAAATGACCAACAAACATATCAAAAAATGATCAACATCTCTAATCATCACAGAAATGCAAATCAAAACCACAATGAGATATCACCTAACTCCAGTGAGAATGGCTTTTATCAAAAATTCCAAAAATAACAAATGTTAGTGTGGATGCAGAGATAGGAACACTCATACACTGTTGGTGGGACTGGAAACTAGTACAACTTCTATGGAAAGCAGTATGAGATACCTCAAAGAACTAAAAATGGAACTAGCATTTGACCCAGCAGTCCTACTACTGGGTATTTACACAAAGGAAAAAAGGACATTCTATAAAAAAGACATCTGCACTGGAATGTTTATAGCAGCACAATTCACAATTGCAAAGATGTGGGAACAACCCAAGTGCCCATCAGTATATAAGTAGATTAATAAAATGTGGTGTATATGTATATATATACATACACACAAACACCCACACCCACACACACTCCATGGAGTACTGCTCAGCCATAAAACCTGTGAACTAATACCTCTTGTACTAACCTGGATGGAGCTGGAGAGCATTCTTTTAAGTGAAGTGTCACAAGAGTGGAAAAACAAATACCACCTGTACTCACCATTAAATTAGAACTAAATGATGAACACTTATGTGTATATATAGAAATAAAATTCATCATAAATCAAGCAGGTGGGAGGGGGGAGGAAGGGATGGGTAAATTCACACCTAACAGGTACAATGCACACTATCTAGTGGATGGGTACACTTATAATTTTGACCAAAATGGTACAAAAGCAATTTAAGTAACCAAAATGTTTATATCCCCATAATATTATGAAATAAAAATAAATAAATAAATAAATATAAAATACGATACAGAAAGGTAGAGCATCTATTACATAGTTTATAGTTAGTATTTAAAGATGCTTGCTTGTTTCAGGTGATATTCTAAATGCTTTATATGTGTTAATTGATTTATTGAAACAGTACTTCTAATATTTATATTATCCCCCCATTTTACAAAATTGGGAAAGTTGAGGGAAAGAGACCTTACTTGAGTATAACATAATAAGTCACAGCTAAGACATGCTAACTCATTTAGAGTCCATTCCTCATTCCTGCTGTGCTTTCTACCATTCTATCCTCTTCCAAAAGTGGATACCATTAGTACATTGACTTGCTGGATCCTTCTTATCTGCATTTCCTGATTAAGAATTAAAACGGACTAGACATAATCCTTCTTAACTTATTTAACTTTCTTTTATAAACATTTTCAAAGTTATTACATGGTTTTTATAAACATTTCAATGATTATACTATACTCAAATAACTGGATGAGTCAACTAATGTAACTATTGCCATATCTTGGGGCAAAGAATTGTCTTTGAACTTTTATAATTAAAAAACAATGCTACTACAATAAACACAATTTTGGCATAAATACATACATAAAATTATATAGGCCCAAGGGAGCTCCTTTATCCTTTTTACTATATGAGAGAATATACTTAAAATGCACCATCTATGAACCAGAAAGTAGGCCCCTACCAGACACTGAATTTTCCAGCACCTTGATCTTGGACTTCTCAGCCTCCAGAACTGTGAGAAATAAATTTCTATAGTTTATAAGCTACTTAGTTTATGGTATTTTGTTTTAGCAGGCCAAAGAGACTAAGACAGGTACTAAATAGGAAATCTACTCTTCTCTTTCTTAAGTAAACAAAAGTGATGTTATAAAATTACCTGATTGTCCTAGTAGGTATGAGTACATAAAACAACAGCAATCCTTATGCAAAATGAAGTCTTCTCCTCACAGATGAAACAAACAACTTTATTTATGCCACGTCTATTTCCTATAGCTTATTATCTTCTATCTTATCCTCATCACAAGAACATCCAAGGGAGCTACTTGACTGGAGAGATTAAATACTGGAAGGCTTAACATTCTCCAGAATCCAGATCTGTTTGGTCATCTTCACACTATCAGACTAGGATTAGATCACGGCACCTTAGAGGAGTCCATTTTGATAGGGCTGGCCCCTCTGTTTGCCTACAGTATGAACAGTGTCCAATTTCTATTTCTTTCCAACCAACACTCCCTCTCTCTTCAGCATCTCTCAGAACTAACCCCACACTAAAGCAGGTTTAGTGGGGAAAGGGGAAAACAGATTATTCAAATTGGCCACAAGTCAAAATTATGTTTTTTTTTTTTTATTTAATTATCACAATGCTGGTATATTCGTTATAAAAAATAATTGAGCAAATATATTTTCTATGACAAACATTATGTGTACATAGCCTTAAGATTAAGGATACATAATATCTTCAAATAATGGTATCTCAAGGGAACTTCTTGTAACCAAAATTTGTCAAAACACATTTCTGTCATAACAGAATACTACTAAGTAAGTATAAATGTGACAAGAAAGGACTTTAACTCTCATTTGCTTAAGGTTTATACAAGTCAAAATTGATATCACTGTGATGGATCCAGAGTCCTCCCTGATCCTAGAAAAGGTATAAAAGGTGTGAATAACTCCCTGAATAAGTTGCAAAGCACTGGATAGGTCCACACATATTTCCGTTCTGTGTTTTCCACTTAAGTTTTCTTGTTTTGAGGCTTAAATGATTTGAGGTTTTTAGGATCCCCTGTTAAAATGTTAATATTCCTAGGACAATAACTTGAGATTTCTAACACAAATATAAGTAAGGACACAAGGGCTGATCTGGAATTTGGGGCTTTCACGTTAGGCAAAAAAAGTTTACAGAGCCAAACTATTGGCCTCAAAATATGATTTGTTACCTACATTATTTCAGAGGTGTAATGTATTGAAAGCCCCATTAGTCCTATTCCCAAGGGCAAAGTGTATTACCTACATGTAGCATTCCCAAGAGACCAAATAAAATAAAATAAAATAAACAAACACTAAACTGCAAGTATAAAAACTTGATGTGTATGGATTTTGTATAGTAAAAACCTAAGCACAATATAGTAAACTCCAAAATCAAAGCACATAAGGAATGGAATGCTATCTTTGAATTTTGACATGCTCAGCTATTGGAGAAAAGTGTTTTAAAAAATATTTTCTCCTGCAGGATCAGAACAGCATAATACATTTTTTAGTGAATACTAAATGATAAACTTACATCAGAATTAAATCTCAACTGGCAAATGTTGCATGATATGATTTGCTTTCTTCGATGGGGAAGAGGAACCCCAAATGTATGATTTATTACAGCTTTCTGAATTGGGTCCATCTGTAATGAGAAAAAAATACAACAAATAGAAATAAAGCTTGTCAGTTCCATTGGAATATTGCCTATTTCATTAAAGAACCAATCTGCACAGCTTCAATCTACTGCTCACATTACAAAGAACGTTTTTATTCTAAGAAACAACATTTCTACTTTCTTGGAAAACAGATAACCAAAAGCTCAAAGCTCAGTATGATTAGGAAATGATAAATGTACCCATTAGATTCTACATTAATGATCAACAACTGTCTCAGTGTAATAATCCTTAAATATAATTAAAGATGTATCAAAACTCAAGTATTGCTAACAATTTAACACAGAAATGCGTCTATTGCCTCAAAATGGACTTCAAAATAGACTTGTTCAGCTGGGCAGTCATGAAAATAAATTACATACCATTATTCAACATCAACCTGATGCTATGTTTGGTATCTTTTAGACCCTAAGAATATAGTATACAAATCCTGCTTTGAATACGGATCTGTTACTTAAGTCATTCAACAATCATTTATTGACTATCTAGTATATACTGCTCACCTATGGACATATTTTGGAAGGTACAGAGAGTTTGGTCGAGATGTCAGTTATCTATCTTCATCCTATCCCCAGGACAAGACAAGCAACAACAGAAACATAATATCAGCAATCCAGCTCTGATAAGGCTTAATATTCCCTCACCAAGTTTTGTCCTGTGGTTCACATCAGTGATTCTCAGCTGTTACAGTAAGATTAAACTTTTGATCTGCTTCATAATTCTTGTGGAAAATCTTTCCCTATCTGTGTCTATTTCTTAAAGTTGTGATGAGGTTTGAATGTGACAATTCATGAAATTTACAGTCAGTCTAGGCACATTAAAAAAATCAATAGATGCTGGCTATTATTGTATGTTCCTTATGGCAGCACACATGAACATCAAGGTTAACGTGAGCTAAAAAAAAAAAAAAAGTTAACACTCCTATCGTCATTGTTGGCAAACTACCCATTTTTCTCATGATCAAAGAACATTTCTGAATGATTTCAATGTTCTGTATATAGCCATGACTTCTGTTGAATGCCTGCAAATTTAGGAATTCTTAACTCTTACCAGATGCAAAATTCTAAGACTCCTCACAATAGATTGAGATAGCTCAGAAATGACTTGATATGAACTGAAAAATTCAGAATGTGTCAGAGAAAGGATGCTCTCATGTTCAGCTTCTGTAACACATTATAGGTCATTAATTCCCCTAAATAAATCATTGATAACTTCTACTTCATGTTGTTTATTTCAAATCATCAGAACCACTCATAGGCTCTCTCCACTGGAAGGTCTGAGAAAGCTTCTGTCTCTCCTGTGTTCACAACTCCCATTAGGTTGTCTAGGCACTCTAAACAATAACAACAACAACAATAATAAAAATACTAGCAATAAGCATTTATTAAATGCATTCTATGTGCTAACCACTCAGATAGATGCTTTACATATTTAACAGTTACAATGAACAAGAAGACCTCATGGGTGTAATCATTATCTTCCACTTTCCTTTTAAGTTTATTAACTCACATCAATTCTTGTCCAGATTCTGGATGAAACTCGGGCTGACTCCATAATTTTTCTGGTGACTTTTTGGTATTATCAAATTATAAAAATCCCCTCCCCCATTACTAGTGATTTCTACCATACTTTTTTGTAATAGATTTTATTTAGGTATAATTTACACAGAGTAAAATTCGCCAATGTTAAGTGTACAAGTTAATGAAATCTGACAAATGCATACAGTCACAATAATTATCATATAAAACACTTCAATTACCTGGAACAAGTTCCCTTCTGCCCCTCTGTGGTCAACCTCTGCCTCCTATCCCCAGCCCCTGGAACCACTGGTCTGATTTCTGTCACTATATTTTCGCCTCTTCTCTAAGTTCATACAAATGGTATCACAGAGAATATGCTCTTTTGTGTCTACCATCTTTCATTCAGCAAAAGGCTTTTCAGATTCATCCATGTTTTTATATGTATCGGTAGCTTGTTTGTTTTTATTGCTGAGTAGTATTCCTTTGTATGGATATACCACATTGTGTTTAATCCAATGCCACTGGTGAACATTAGAATTGTTTTCAGTAAATTCTATTATCTTTTTAAGTCTTAACAACAATCTAAGCTCATGCCTAAATTCAGTCCAATATCTTAATCCAAACATTAAAAATAAATTTAAAATTACAGTATCTGCCTGTTTTTGTTTTTCTTTTTTTTTAGCTTGGGACAGCTATAGGGTAGTAGTATGAAAGGTCACAGGGCATGGTGCAGGATTCTTCTCTACATATACTGCCAAGTTCTCCATCCACCCCAGTTACGCTTCGAACCCTGCCTCACCCGTATTTCCTCAGAACCAACATTAACAATGCACAGAGCTAAAGAAAGCCAATGGCCACATAATTGTGTGGATCTGAGCTGGCTTGATAGCCCCCATGCTGTTCTCCAGGCTCATTCTTTACCACTTTAAAAATGTCATCACAAAGCTTCTGTACCAACAAGCACAGAGAACACCGGGGGACAATTTTCCCTTCAGTCACCAGCTGAAAGAAAAATTAACAGTAGAAAGAGGTCAGTGACATAGAGTTAGTTCTCCCATCACATTCTGTTGTGTGTGTTCTGTGTATAAATGGGGCCCATTTGTAGCAGGGGATAAGGCGAACGATCCCTATAACCCATTACGGAATATTGAAGTCATCTTATAATGATACTTCGAAATAAAAATGAACTGCATATTTATATCAACGATGCTCTCTGAAAATATATACTGCTGAGTTTTTATCATATATTGGTGAGCAGGGTATTATTTTAGTCTTTTAGTAACACTGAGAAAGCAGGGAACACATTCAATTCAAATTTGTGTAGGAGGTATTTTGGAACTAGATACTTCATGCAAATGTGACATAGTCTCTAGATTAAATTCTTTTGTGTGAATTGAATGATGTTATGATCACTGTGGCTATAAAATCAGATTTCAAAAATGCAAATTCTTCTTCTGAGACAATTTTATTTCCCAGAATACTTAAAAAAAACCCACTCAACTAAATTATATTTTAAAGATAGTTTCACAAACTATAGGTACATCACCAAAAGTAATTGTATTTTATCATTCTAGGAATATGGTACAACAAAACTATTGAAGTTTTAACACTTTTATTAATGAAAATAAATCATATTATACATACATATGTCCATTTATAATGAAGAATTATGAAAGAGTAAAATTTCAATAATAACCGTTCTGTTGTCAAATAGTTAATTAAATAATACCACATATTATGTAACTACTATAGCATCTACTGTCAAATTAGAGAACACACAGCCACTTTGATCATTTTGCCTAAACTTCCCACTATTTGCCACTATTATCAAATATTTTATTTAAAAAGAAAGTCATATATGTGAGTTTTCTCCCCATAAACTGGTCTTATATGCCAAAACAATCACATCTTACTGTGTGTGTGTATATTATCATCAGGTGTTTTTCTACAAAATCAGTGTCAAGGTATGCCAGTATGTGTAGTAGGCAAGAAATAAAGGAATTCTTGAGTTACATAAGTTGTAGAAAATCAGCCTAGACATTAACCATGTATAATAGAACATTAAAATCTCTGAGATGTTCTACACTAAAAGTGTTTTAAAATACATGACTTCTAAAATAATATACCCACAAAGTTTATCGATTTCTTTGTTTTTAAATTTTACATAAATGTTCAATGCACATAGTTTAGAACCTAGTGATCTGAGGGAAAAAAAAACATTATAAAATATACATAAAATGTAAATGCTTCGGTACAACAGTAAAGACATTAAACTAAAAATGTTATAGATAGAAATTTCAGATATATTTCACTCATGCAGCACTGAATTAAAAACTAAAAGAAATGTTAAAATCTACATGGTATTTTATGACATATTTATTTAATTTCTAAATTGAGATATTTTGAAAGCCAGACTTTTCTAAACACCATTATCCAACCCCCCAAAACAAACAAAAATGAAGAATGATACACTACCTATTGGCATGCTTACCCAACTCTAAGACTAAAATTCAATTTCAAACTAGCCTAAGGCCTTATTTAAAGCCAAATGAATATGTTTTTCTTCATTTCAGGCTTAAGGACCTTTGCATTTCTATCTAAGGCCAAGGTTTTCCCTTACCTCCCCTCTGGGGATTCTGCTAAATTTATTTGTAAATGAGCATACAAGGGACAGGCCTCAAGTGCAACAGCCCCAGCTCAGGGCTCCCTTCTGAAGGAAGTCTGCTGCATTTTCAGAGAGGATGGAGCTTAACCCTGAGTTTACGTTTCCTGCTCTAAGAGACCTCCTCTCTCTATAGCTATTATTATTGTGGCTTTCAGTTTTTCAGACAAAGAATAAGAACTCAAATGCCAGGAAATTTAGAAGTTCGGAAATATAAAAGTTGTCTCTTCTAGCTGGTATTTCTATGTAATAATGGCCAGTGACAATAACTCTAAAGGTTACACTTAAGGGTATTCCCTGTGTGTGTGATGTTTATAAGCATTATTTCTCTCCTAACTTACAAGGAGCTCTTACTGCCATCGCCCAATAACACACAAGTAGTAAGTGGGAGACCAGCTAATACCCAATACCCTGGCCCCCCTACTCAATCAGGTGCCATAATCAAGTTTTGTAATATTCACTATATGTAAGTACGTAGGATATTTGTGCCCTTCTAGCTTTAAGTGATACTGAGTGGAAACCCTGGGGCATTTATTACATCTACTCTGAATGAGTAAAATTATTTATATTACTCACATTCACATATTAATTAGAAAGCACTAATATAAGAATTCCTAAAAATGCCACTCCCACACAAATTCATTCATTTGAGAAATTTGCATTTTTGTCTTTTTTAACTTTTAAAATGAATATATAACTTACATACAAAAAAGCAGATGAATTATAAGTGTATAATTTGCAGAGTTTTAAAATACATGCATACTCCCATGTTACCACCATCCCAATA